GTGTGATTTGCTGCCTTCCTCCCCTTCATCTATGTCTGGCATTTCTCCCCATGCTATCTCTCCCCAGCTCCCCAGCTCCCCACCCACTGCTGTCCCTCCCCTATTTCCCCCAATAGACCCCAGTGTGTAGTGCTCCCCTCCCTGTGTCCATGTGTTCTCATTGTTCAACACCCGCCTATGAGTGAGAACATGAGGTATTTCATTTTCTGTTCTTGTGTCAGTTTGCTGAGAATGATGTTCTCCAGGTTCATCCATGTCCCTACAAAGGACACGAACTCATCGTTTTTGATTGCTGCATAATATTCCATGGTGTATATATGCCACATTTTCCCTGTCCAGTCTCTCATCGATGGGCATTAGGGTTGATTCCAGGTCTTTGCTATTGTAAACAGTGCTGCAATGAACATTCGTGCGCATGTGTCCTTATCCTCTCTACGCATATGTGTTCAAACCTGTCACACTCAACTTCCTCATACGGGCATAAACTTTAAATAGCTTTTCTGATAGTCTTCCGGTATAAATGCTTTGGCACACATATATGCGATAACTATATTAAATACGCATCCCATGTCACAAGGAGAGTCAAAGGCAACGAGAATTCATAGAATTTAGCTTCATCTGAATATCTTTCTAAAACTCAGAGCTAAGCAGCCACATCACAAAGCATTCTCCCACCATCCTCAGAAAAGAAAAGAAGAAAGTTAATACTTGTAGAGGAGATTTTTTACTTCAGTATATACTTTTTTCCTTTAGTAGTTCAGCAAGGGGCAGAATGGTTGTCTATGGCTTGAATATTCTTAAACTAAAGTGTCTCCTGGACAATTCTATATGTTACCACATTAGTCTGCCCCATGTTTATGCTCAAAATAAAAGTTTCCGAAACCAACCTGAGATAGAAGAGATTAGAAAAAGATAAAACTCTTCCTAGTCCCAGGATGTGCAAAGCCATATCTTTTTACCTCACATGGACTCAGGAAAGATTTCAGAACCATCAGGTATTTCCCCACCCCCCACCCCCATCTCCCTAACCAAATAGGCAGCAACAACAGAAACAGGCAGGATGTACCTGCAGTCTTTGCTCCTATGGCATTACTATTGTAAACAGTAGAACACAAAGTTCTTGTACATCGGAATAAAAAAAGATGCAATTACTATTGAGCCAATGTAATCAACTGTGGTTTTAAAATACCTAGTAAGTATTTTGGAAATAATTCAATGTTTTTAATTTTATTTTTATTTTACATGCAGTTGTAAATAAAAAAATCCCATATGCTATATATACACAGTTGCAGAAACAGAAAATGACCAACTCATGCTGACTTTCCAGAGGAGCTCAAGGAATTTTGCTTCATTCATAAAGTTAACATAAATAGCATTTGCATAAATGATGGACACTAATACTAATAGCAGAATCAAAGAAAGGATGATATTAATTGAAAACTTCATCAAATTTGTTGTTTAAATAATCCTGGTGGTAATATATGGAGGCTTAGAGATTAATATAAAATCTATTCTCTTCAAATTATATATTTAATTTTAAGCACTATTTCATTTTCTCTCCTAGGAAGATAATTTATTAAAAGGCATATTTGTTTTCAATGGATAAAATTAAAGTCATTAACTGGCTATTCAAATTTGTAAGTAGTAAAATTCTCCTTTGGAGTATACATCAAAATTAATTTTATACCCAATCTTATAGCCAAACACAATTCTCTCTACTAAACAAAGAGCCTTGGAGAAAAAAGAGAAAATAATTTTTAAGGCCAAAAACAATTATTTTATTGAGAATGATAGTTTTCAGCTTCATCCACATCCCTGCAAAGGGCAAGAATGCAACCTTTTTTATGGCTGCCTCGTATCCCATGGTGTATATGTGCCACATTTTCTTTTCTTTATCCAGTCTGTCCTTGTGGACATTTGAGTTGGTTCCAAGTCTTTGCTATTGTGAACAGGGCTGCAATAAACATATGTGTTCATGTTTCTTTAGAGTAGAAAGATTTATGATCCTTTGGGTATCTAACTAGTAATGGGATTGCTGGGTCAAATGGTATTTCTATTTCCAGATATTTGAGGAATTGCCACATTGTTTTCCACAATGGTTGAACTAATTTACACTCCCACCTATTTATCCACATCAGAAAACAAAACACCACATGTTCTCACTTATAAGTGGGAGTTGAACAATGAGAACAAATGGACACAGGGAGGGCAATACCACATACTAGGGCCTGTTGGGGGGACTAAGGGAGGGATAGCATTAGGAGAAACACCTAATGTAGATGACAGGTTGATGGGTGTAGCAAACCACCATGGCACCTGTATATCTATGTAACAAAAATACATGTTGTACACATGTATCCCAGAAGTTAAAGTATAATAAAAAAAAATTTACAGAGAGGCTGATATATTTTAAAGAGTTCATTATAGTTTCTATTACTTTTTCTAATAACAAATACACTTGTTTGGGTCATGTACAGTCTTTAAAATAAAATTAAATGTCATTTTAAAAGAAGGTGCATTTCATATTTTCAGACCTTATCAGCATAATTTTTCTGTAAACAGTTCATTGAATGGTTTTGATAAAGTATTTATAGAGTAAAATGCATAATACAGTAATTATATAGAAAATACGTAATTTTTAAAAATGATAATTCACTCCACCTTAAAATTATGATGTCTCAAAACACTTTATTTAGTTAAATATAATCTTTTGCTGTGCAAAATATGCCTATCTTATTTTTTAAAGAAAACAATTGCAGTCAGGCAGTAAACAAGGATGGAGGGAACGAAGGAAGACAAGGAGAATATAAAGAAAGGAAAAAACCTAAACACAGTCAGAAAATAGCCAACACTAGGCATTTCTTTTTACTGGAATGGAAACATGTTCTTAAATGATTCGTCGTAATGATATGAAACACATGAGTGATGAATGATAAAACCATTCCAACAAGATTCTTAAAACTATCAAATTTAGAATGCCACAGGAATTTTTTTTGAATTATAGAAGCCATCTTGATGCAAAATTCAAGTTGCAAAATGTCTACTTTTTTTTTTTTAGTTTCACAATCTCTTTCTCCACTGCTGGTGACATTTTCATAATGTGAGACAGCAATTCGTTGAAAAATTTCATTTTTTTCAGAAATAATCTCTAAACTGAAGGAACTGAGTGACACCAGCAGCCTGCTTCCATGGTATTATCTGGGCTTTTTAAGTAAAGCATAATGTCCTCCAAGTTCATCCACACTGTAATAAGTGTCAGAATTTTATTCCTTTTTAAGGTTTCATAATATTCCATTGTATTTAATACCACATCTGCTTACCCATTCATCCATCAATAGATGTTTGAGTTGTTTCCACTTACTGGCTGCTGCAAACAGTGCAGGTATGAATATTTGTGTGCAAATATATGCTCTAATTCCAGGTTTCATTTCTTTGAGTATATACCCACAGTGGGATTGCTGGATCATGTTACAAATTCATGTTTAAGTTTTGAAGAAATGTCATATTAAAAATATCAAAATTCCATTTTTAAATTTTTATTTTCCAAAGTGGATGCACCATTTTACATTCCTACCAGTAATGTGCAAGTACTTTAATTTTCCCACTTTCTTACCAACACTTGGTATTTTCTGAGTTTTTGTTTGTTTCATCCTTTTCAATAATAGCTACCTTAAAAGGTATCAAGTAGTATCTCATTGTCATTTTGATTTGCATTTCCCTAATCAGTGTCATTGAGCCTCTTTTCATGTGCTTATTGCCCATCTGTGTGTCTTCTTTGGAGTAATGTCTAATCTTGCCTATATTTTAATTAGGTTGCTTGGGATTCTGTTGTAGATTTAAGAGTTCTTCATATATTCTAGATACTAATTCTTTATCAGATATGAGTTGCCACTATTTTTTCTCATTCCATGGGGGAAAAAATCTGTTTGTGGTGTTCTTTGATAGACAAAATGTTTAATTTGTATGAATTACAATTTATCTATTTTTTTGTTGCCTGTGCTTTTGGTGTCATCCAAAAATATACATATCATAGCCAAATGGAATGTCATGAAACTTTTCTCCTGTTTTCTTGGAAGTTTTCCCATTCTAGCTTTTATATTCAGTTTGTTTTATATGGTGTTACATTTTAAGTTAATTTTTATATAGGGATAAGGGTTCAATTTCATTCTTTCACATGTGTATATCCAGTTTTCCCAATGCCATTCATTGAAAGATTGTCCTTATCCCATTAAATGGTCTTGCTACACTTATTGGAAATCATTTGGTCATCTATGTGAGAGCTTATTCCTGAACTCTGTATTCTTTTCCTTTGGTCCATTTGTCTCTCCTGATGCCAGTACCACCTTGTTTTGATTATTGTAGCTTTGTAAGTTTTGAAATCAGAAAATGTGATGTCTCCAACTTTGTTCTTTTTGAAGACTGTTTTGACTATTCAGAGTCCCTTGGGATTTTACATGAATTTTAGGATATATTTTTCTATTTTCTATTTCTGCCAAAAACATCATCGAGATTTTGATAGGGATTGCACTGAATCTATAAATCACTTTGGGTATTACTGACAGCTTAAAAATATTGTTGTCCAGGCCGGCCGCGGTGGCTCACGCCTGTAATCCCAGCACTTTGGGAGGCCGAGGCTGGTGGATCACGAGGTCAAGAGATCGAGACCATCCTGGTCAACATGGTGAAACCCCGTCTCTACTAAAAATACAAAAAATTAGCTGGGCATGGTGGTGCGTGCCTGTAATCCCAGCTACTCCGGAGGCTGAGGCAGGAGAACTGCCTAAACCCAGTAGGTGGAGTGAGCCGAGATCGCGCCATTGCACTCCAGCCTCAGTAATGAGAGCGAAACTCCGTCTCAAAAAAAAAAAAAAAAAAAATTGTTGTCCAATCCAGAAATACTGAAACTGTGAAGCGATTCACTATGCACTGGTTACCGACTCGTCTGAGTCCAATGAGACAGAAGACCCATACATGTAACAAATTACATGAAGCAGGCTTACCATTACTTACAAATAGGAAGGAAGGGACAACAGAAGCCTAGGATTCATTACAAGCCAGGCTCCAAAGCTCAGGAAAGCTGCATAGGTGAAGATGGAGTCTTGTCAGAACAAATCCATTTGTACTGCAGCTGAGAGGCCCAGGAGAGTAGTCGCCTTGGGTTTTACACTCTGAGGGTAACAGAATTTGCAAGACTAAAGCATTGAAAAACATCCTGTTTCTAGGGGAGACTGAACAGAATGGAAACTAAATGAAAAGACAGTAACTGTCCTCATGATTCAAGGTAATGTAAAGCTATATTCGTGTGCCACTGAAAACCATCTCAACTGACACTGGTATTACATGCCCCCCACTCTATGAAACACTGGCCTAAGTTTTATGGACCTCAAATTTTTGTCTGTCATCTATTATTTTCATTCTGAAGGAACAGGAGAGACAAATACATTTAAGAGAAAGTAAAGTCTGAGTTAGCTTAGGACAAGTTGCCCTCTTTTACGGTAGAAATGCATAAGAAATTAGCATTACAGTTTTCTGTACTAGCTGTTTTCTCAATTCATATATGATTTAAATGGATTAGGAGATCTTTTTGTACTACCTGTATAAGGGCATATGACCAGTTTAAATCCATTTAATCCCAGTTTTCCATTATCGGAACGCTAAGTATGTGGGAGTTATTTATATCCTACTGCTCCAGGATTCTCCAAAGTCTGATTGCAAAATTCAAAAAATTGCAACCTGAGGCATAAATAGGTTAAATCTTTTCCATCCTTTAGTCACAATTTTTTTCTAGCATCCTGTACTTCTTTTCTTGATTTAACAGTTCAAATTTCAGTTCCCATAAAACACTGGAATCAAGGCTCAATGTACATTTCATGTAAGAATTCAGTCTGCATGGTGCTTTTTTGTTGTAAAACCATTTAACATTCATATGAAAATAATTATCTTAATGTATTTGTTCTATTGCCATGCAGAGGAAATAAGCCAGATTTAATGTCTGTGCCCTATGATAAAGGCACTGAATGTGGTTACTGCCCCACGGACTGCAGCCAGAATTTGTGTTGTAAGTAAGGAGGATTAGGGAGGCATAGCATTAGGGGAAATACCTAATGTAGATGATGGGGTGATGGATACAGCAAACCACCACCATGGTACGTGTATACCTATGTAACAAACCTGCATGATCTGCACATGTACCCCAGAACTTAAAGTATAATTTAAAAAAAAGAAAAAATTATCCTTACATTGGGGAAAAAAAAGTCACTTTCTCTTTTGCCATCAATATTGCTATATATCAAAATCAATATTTGAAGAGAAATGGAAGATATAGAGATGAGATATGTGACTATAGGAACAAATATATGCATATATTAATAAGAATGAAAGTATCATGGCATTTAGTTGTCTACATGTGTAAGTAAACCAATAGAGATCAAAGAGACAAACAGATCACTGGATTGAAAATGAATATTTAAATTTTATCAATGAAACATTATGAGAGCTAAAAATATTTTCTTAATGGATTGTGCTACTTCATATTACTGTATTTTTGAAATTTGTGCTATAATTACAGAGATAGAAATACATTTCTTGGCTTATTTTTTTAAGCTTAAAATTATCTTCATTATCTTTTATCAGTCACCGTTAGTCTCTACATTAGTCACTTTTTCTACCTACTGCTTCTAATCCCAAGATCATAAATCTCTCATTTTTGCATGGTTATATTACTTATAAATTTCTTTGTTAATCTCGCCATACTCCTGACTGCTTAACCATATTCTACCCAGTATTCTATCCCCCTCAAGGCTTAGTGCTCCTGTTTAAGACAATAGGATTAGGTAAACTAATCCTTGCTAACTTCTTTCTAAAAATGCTATTAAATCTTCAGCAAGTATTTATTATGCAACCACGTATAATGTGTTCATCATAGTTTAATTCCAGAGAGACCTTGTAAGATAACCTAAAAGAAATGACATTGATTTTACTGTATACTTCATCTCTTAGTAGGATTAGTCACATCTGATTAGCATTCTCACTTGTGTACATGATTTCAAAAGTTATTGATGGGCCTTCTCCGTTCTGAGTCTCCTGAAATGAGTATATACTCATTAGGTTGATAATATACATGGATTTAGATGAAGATGACTACATGCTCACACTTATGCTTCTGTGACATCATCATCATCCTGAATATTTGTACATTCCTTGTAATAGGCAGGGTGCTTTTAAACACATTATATTTGAAATCCACTCAGCATTATTTTAAGATAACTATTATCATTCCCATTTTATAAGGCATAAGATTAGAGGAAGGAAGGGTGGGAGACCATAGTGCACTCCACTTTCTTCTTTTCTTTGTTCACTCTGCTTCCAGATCTTTCTTTTTAAATCTTTTTAAAATAATTTCAACTTTTATTTTAGACTCAGGGTGTACATGTGCAGGTTTGTTACATGGACACTTTGCATGATGCTGAGGTTTGGAGTACAATTGATCCTATCACCCAGGTCATAATCATAGTACCCCGTAGTTGTTCAACTCTAAACCCTCTCCCTCCCTCCCACCAGTAGGTCCCAATGTCTATTGCTGCCATCTTTATGTCCATGAGTACTCAATGTTTAGCTCTCACTTGTAAGTGAAAACGTAGTATTTGGCTTTTTTCTATCTATGTTAATTCATTTAGGATAGTGGCTTCCAGACATTCATGTTGCTGTAAAGGACACGATTCTGCTCTTTTTTAAGGCTACATAGTATTCTATGGTATATGCCACATTTTCCTTATCCAATCGACCACTGATGGCACTGGGGCTGATTACACATTTTTGCTCTTGCGAATAGTGCTGTGATGAACATACAAGTTCATGTGTCTTTTGGTAAAATGATTTATTTTCCTTTGAGTATAATATACCCAGTAATTGCTGGGTTGAATGGCAGTTCTGTTCTTTGAGAAATCAACAAACTGCTTTCCACAGTGGCTGAAGTACCTTACATTCCTACCAACAGTGTATAAGCATTCTCTTTTTTTCCACAACTTTGCTAGCATTTGTCATTTTTTGACTTTTTAATGAAAGCTATTTGACTGGTGTGAAATGGTGTCTCACTGTGGTTTTGATTTGTATTTCTCTGACTAGTGATATTGAGCATTTCTTCACGTTTGTTGGCTGTTTATATGTCTTCTTTTGAGAAATGTCTGTTCATGTCTTTGCCACTTTTTAATGGGGCTATTTTGGGTTTTTGTTGAATTAAATTCTTTATAGATTCTGGATATTAGACCTTTGTTAGATACATACTTTGCAAATATTCCCTCCCATTCTGTAGATTGTCTGTTTACTCTGTTGACAGTTTATTTTGCTGTACAGAAACTCTTTAGTTTAATTAGGTCTCCCTTGTCAATTTTTGCTTTTGTTGCAATTGCTTTGCAGAACTTAGCCATAAATTATTTCCCAAGGTCAATGTCAAAATAGCTTTTCTTAGTTTTCCTTCTAGGAGTCTTACAGTTTGAGATCTTACACTTAAATCCATCTTGAGTTAATTTTTGTATATAACAGGGGTCAAGTTTCATCCTTCTGCACATGACTAGCCATCTATCACAGCACCATTTATTTAATCGTCTATGTATCATAAGCTATACATGAATTCTTACTTTTCAAGGAATTTTTTAATAGGATAACACTACCAGAAACTAAATGGTATATAATTTTATCTTATGATGAGTTTAAAGGTTTTTCATGATATAAAGAAAGCATTTCAGAATCATTAAAAACGGTATCCTAATATATGGTAGAGAAGAGTAGAGCTCTAGAGTACCTGTTATGTAACCAATCACTTAGTTTGGGTCTTAACTCCATCGCTGCCTAGCTATGTGATCTTAGGCACATAATTAACTGCACTGTGCCATGCTCTCCTTGTGTGTACATTGAGGATAACAATGGTGAACTCTGCACAGTTACTCAGCATTGGGATGTTGACATGGTTATATTAGTTTATACACATTAGAGACTTAGAGTACTGCCTGCCATAGTATAAAAGCCTGATAAATATTTTTTCAATTATTCTCACTATTAATAACAATTTTAGAGGTAGAAGTTTTGGATGTTTGGTATAATTTTAGCCTCACCTTAAGGCATGTCTTGAAATATTATTATTGGAATAGCAAAATATTTACATACCATTTGCCTCTTTTTCATTAAAAATAATAAAATGAAAATCTAAAATATAGACCATACCTGTTGATTAAATGTTAGAATGAACATTTATTACGTCTACGTCTGCATGCTTGTATATACAAAAAAGTATATACACATATATATTTAAAGCTGCACTTTAGATCAATTTTCACTTGTTGCTTTTCCTTGAACTCTTGCTAAAACAATAGTAATCTACTTGTTATTAATGGATAATAATAACTTAGCATATTGCTTTATTTCAGCAAACCCTTAAAGATACTACAATAAATGTACAACTATAATGCTTTGCAAGATCATTGTAATGATTAAGAAGTGAAAACCACTTGTGAGGTCACATGTCAATGTAACAAAAATGAAATAATATAAATCTGATTCTTTGCATTTGTTTGCTTACAAAATAATAATCTTCTTTGAGGCATGATGGTATGTGTAATTATAAAGTACAACTTTCCATATACTTCTGGATTTAGATTTAAATATAGGCATAATTATAACAAAATGGAGACTTGTCCTATTGGAGAGTGATGCTTTCAGATTTTAATCAAGATTCCTATAATATTTATCGTTCTAATACCCACAATTATTTTGATGTTCAAATAAACTTTGCACATTTTCTTTTTTTCTTTTTTCTTTCTTCCTTATTTATTTATTTATTCATTCATTCATTTTTTGGAGACAGAATCTCACTCTGTCACCTGGGCTAGAGTGTAGTGGTGTAATCTCAGCTCACTGCAGCCTCCACCTCCTAGGTTCAAGCACTTCACCTGCCTCAGCCTCCTGAGTAGCTGGGATTACAGGCACCCACCACCATACTCAGATAATTTTTGTATTTTTAGTAGAGACAGGGTTTCACCATGTTGGCCATGCCGGTCTCAAACTCCTAACCACAGGTGATCCGCCCATCTTGGCCTCCCAGAGTGCTGGGATTACAGGCGTGAGCCACTGCACCTGTCTTTTTATTTAGTTTTTCTACCAATGAAAAGAATCAACCAACAACTTACTTGATAGTTTAGGGAGTTGCTCCTCATGTAGTATAAAGTCTTTGTTCTTCTGAAGGCTGGATTAACTTGCAAGACTTTACAGGTAAAAATGACTTTGCAATCTGCTCAAATTTGTGTCTGAGTTTTATTTGACTTAAGGATAGGGATTTATAATATCCCTCTGTCTCTCGCCGTTAGAATCCAAATTAAATTAAGTCCAGCTGAAATGGCAAATCTATAGGGACAGAAAACAGAACAGTGGTTGCCGGGGCCAAGGGTGAGTGTGGGAGTTGATTACAAAAGACATGAGGAAATTTTGGAAGGTATGAAACAGTTCTATATCCCAATTGTGTTGGTGACTATGTGACACAATTTGACAAACAAAAACCCCTTTTGTTTGTCAAAGTTCATAGAAATGGACACTAAAATGGGTAAACTGTACCTATAGTTAGTTAAATTATGCCTTAATAAAGCTGGCAAAAATATTAAAAGTAAGTACAACATAAATTTAAATGTAGTCCACAATTTCCCTTTCTGAGGCTGGAAATGAGTTTAGTATCACTCAGTTGTTGGGAAGGAGGCTACCTTTAGATAGTACAATATTGCTAGGGTTTGCCCTGTTCAAGATTGAGGTAGCTGTCTAGTCCCTGTAGGCTTTGCCCTTGCCCAAGCATGTGTTTCATTCCAAGGTTAGGTCTGTCCAGGTGGCCTTTCCTACTCTCTACATTAACCTTGGCCATGATGGTATACTGAGAGGCTATAGAATCCAAGTTATCGGGCACAGATCCCCAGCTAAGGTAATGACATCACAGGGAGAGGTTTTCCAAAGGACCCATATCCCAATCACTTATGAATACTAAAACCCCTATGCCTCTTCCACTCTGGGATCCAATCGTCTTCGGGGATTTGTAGTTTACACTTCCTAAGCCCTCAAAGTATTCAGCTCACACTTCCTTCCTATTCAATAGACCTTTAATCTTTCAGAAGTTAAAAAAAATCAATTTAGGAATTTTTTTAACTTTTATTTTATGTTCAGGGGTACATGCACAGGTTCCATATATAGGTAAACTCACATCACAGGGGTTTGTTGTGCAGATTATTTTCTCTGGTCCTCTCCCTTCTGCCCTCACTCCACCCTCCAGTGAGCCCCACTGTGTGTTGTTCCCTCTACATGTTGCCTCTAAGTTCCCCTCTATGTATCCTCCTCTATGTATCCATGCGTTGTCATTATTTAGGTCCCACTTGTATGTGAGAACATGCAGTATTTGGTTTCCTGTTTGTGCATTAGTTTGCTACGGATATTGGCCTCCAGCTCCAGTCATGTTCCCATAAAGGATATGATCTCATTTTTTAATGGCTATATAGTATTCCATGGTGTACACATAGCACATTTTCTGTATCCAATCTGCCACCGATAGGCATTTAGGTTGATTTCATGTCTTTGCTATTGTGCATAGTGCTGCAATGGACATACACATGGATGTGTCTTTACATAGAATGTTTTATATTATTTTGGATATGTAGCCAGTGTATTAATCTGTCATACTGCTAATAAAGACATACCCAAGATTGGGTAATTTATAGGAAAGAGGTTTAATGGACTCATGGTTCAGCATGGCTGGGGAGTCCTAAAAATTATAGCAGGAGGCAAAGGAGAAGCAAAGGCACATCTTACATGACAGCAGGCAACAAGAGCTTGTGCCGGGGAATTCCCATTTATAAAACCATCAGATCTCATGAAACTTACTCACTACATGAAAACAGTATGGGGGAGACCACCCCCATGATTCAATTATCTCCACCTGGCCCTGCCATTGACACATGGGGATTATTACAATTCAAGGTGAGATTTGGGTGGGGATACAGTCAAACCAAATCACTCAATAATGGGATTGCTAGGAGAAACTTTTTTAAAATAAGCCCACACCACCCAACCCATACATTCAAGTTTCCTTTCCAGATTACTCCCCAGCCCCAGAGATCAGGAAGAATTCAGATTTTAGTATAATTCTTTGGTACTTTACTAAATAGCAAAACCTATTAAAGGAAAAAGAGATAAATTCCCCTTTATTTCTACTTGGTAATCTATTTATTAACAAGTTATCCAGGTACATTGAATCTTCACACATTATTTTAAAATAAAAAAATTACTGACCAGATCTATAGATAGAAAGATCTGGTTATAGATATTATAGAAAGAACTCTCAATCATTAAATATGTTACTCTTCATCTTTTGCATTACATGGATCTTTCCATTTGAAGTTTTGTAGTATTTGTTTGTTTATTTATTTATTGCCATGCCCAGTATGTCCCAGTTGAATATTTTCTTTATGCTTTGATGCAGAATCATGCAATGTTTTCTCCTGTAAATTAATCTAATGTGAAGCCTATGGAATCATCAGAGGAATTAGTTTATTCTATTTGTATCCTGATGGTGGCATCCTTCCATGACCTCTCTTCAACTGGGACTCTTAGCAAGCTAATTAATATTTTTACTTAAAAGGGTAAAATGCAATAGCAAAATCACAAACATCAGAAGAGTACAATACCAGGCTGGAGTACAGTCTTGTAATCTTGGCTCACTGCAACCTTTGCCTCCCAGGTTCAAGTGATTCTCTTGCCTCAGCTTCCCAAGTAGCTGGGATTACAAGTGTGCACCACTATGCCCAGCTAATTTTTTATAATATTTTTAGTAGAGAACAGGGTTTCACCATGTTGGCCAGGATGGTCTCGATCTCTTGACCTTGTGATCCACCTGCGTTGGCCTCCCAAAGTGCTGGGATTACAGGCATGAGCCACTGCACCCGGCCAGTTATTTCTAATTATAAATTAGTAGATGGACTTTTGACTCAGAGAATGGAAGTACTCATCCTATGGATGTCAGTGTTTTCATTGCTGTGACAACATTACCTCATTGTAAATTGATAAGCTGGCATGCTGTAAACAAGTCAGCCCATGGAGGTTGGTTATTATGGGTCAGATGAAAGAAGCATCTACTCTAGGAGTATTGACACAAACATTTCTGGATCTTCTGGGTTGAGGGAAGTCAGATTCCAATGTGTGGTGATTTCTCAGGAAAGGTACCTCTGCCCTTCAATCTCTTTTTCTTTTTTTTTTTTTTTGAGACAGAGTATTGCTCTATTGCCCAGGCTGGAGTGCAGTGGAGTGATCTTGGCTCACTGCAACCTCTACCTCCTGGGTTCAAGCAATTATCCTGCCTCAGCCTCCCAAGTAGCTGGGACTACAGGTGTGTGCCACCATACCCGGCTAATTTTTTGTAGATAGGGTTTTGCCATGTTGGCCAGACTGGTCTTGAACTCCTGACCTCTTGATCTGCCCACCTCGGCCTCCCAAAGTGCTGGGATTACAGGCATGAGCCACTGCGCCTGGCCCCCTTTAATTTCTTTGGGAAACATTTTGCTGTCCTGTTTTCTGGTGGTGACAATAATAATGATACACTAGAAATATTTATTTCTTTTTTTTTGAGACAGAGTTTTGCTCTTGTTACCCAGGCTGGAGTGCAATGGCACGATCTTGGCTCACCGCAACCTCCGCCTCTTGGGTTCAAGCAATTCTCCTGCCTCAGCCTCCTGAGTAGCTGGGACTACAGGCGCACACCACCATGCCCAGCTAATTTTTGTATATTTAGTAGAGATGGGGTTTCACCTTATTGACCAGGATGGTCTCGATCTCTTGATCTTGTGAGCCACCCACCTCGGCCTTCCAAAGTGCTGGAATTATAGGCGTGAGCCACCGCGCCCGGCCAGAAGTATTTATTTCTATAATCTGAACACTAACTATATGGATAGAATGTCTATCTTCTGCTTCCTTTCTTTCTGTCTTGAAGATAGCATTATGTTGGGTTCCTTAGCAATAAGTATATGATCAGAATATAAACTTCATTTACCGCATGTGTATTTCAGTGTTGAACTCACCAATGGACATTTGATGACATGATCCCAAAATTGCATAAATTACTGAAGAACTGAAAGCTGCATAAGCGATGTTGAGAGGAGGAATCAGTTGCCTTGCCAGCAAAATAAGTGTCAGGCCTGAAAAGCAAGATAATTTAAGAAAAAGTAGCTTGGCTTTAAAAGTCACCTTAAATATAAACTGTAAAGAACATTTAAAATAAAAACGATCCATGTGTGTAGCTGCCTGAGTGTGGTGATTGTATTTCTAAACATGGAGTCCTTCATTAGTACTTTTTATTGTCTTCTTTGATTCCTAGCTTATCTTCCTATTTTGCCATATGCTTTTACATTTCAATTCAATATCATAGGCTTAAACATCTTTCACTGCAGGATCTTAATGTTAAACATGTGAAGCAAATACCAGAGCAGTAAGACCGCTAATTCCAACAGATCAAAAAGCAGCACCATCCTTATTCCTAGTCTAGCACAAGAAGGCCCTGGGAATTCTCCAGGGCTGAAGATAAAACTGGAGAGCAAGGCAAGAATCACACTTCACTGACTTGAAGTTGGTTTGTGTTGGTTCTCTTCTACAGCCCAATCACTCCAACCTCTTCCTTCAGCTCCTTCTTTACTACTTACTTTCTTTTCTAAGAAGCACCGTGTGAATTTGGAAATTCTGAAGCAAATGGACTCACAGGCATAGAATCATGCTTTTGATGTTTCAAGCCCATACTTCCTTCCCTAAGGGTCTGTCCTCAATTTACATCATACCAACATACTCATCTAAATTCAGTATGAATTTAGTTAGCCGATTTATTGTCTTAGATAAGCAAGGCTCCTTTTTATAAGACATTTCAAGCATATACAAAAATAGACTATAATGAATTCCATATCTACCCAGCATCCACTTCAACAATGGTCAACCCATAGCCAATCCATGTCTCCTTTCCTCTCCCACCCTATATTACTTTGAAGCAAATCCAAGGCATTTGATTATTTAATCTGTAGATATTTTGGTATGTGTCTCTAAATGATAATACTCTTCTAATTTAACTGCAATAGCATCATTATCGACTCAGTGTTCAAATTTCCCTGATTATCTCACAAACTATTGTTGTAGAGGGTCTCTAAGATGATCCACAATGGCCAATTGGCGTTCTTGCCCTTGTACAACTTCCTCTCCCTTAAGTGTGGAACCGACTTACTAACTTCTTTCTTTCTTTTTTTTTTTTTTTCTTCATATGAGCTGTGGCTTTGTTGTATACTAACTTGTTTCTAAGAAGTAGACTATAACAAAAATGACTTGATGACACTTCTGAGATTTGGTTGCAAAACGACTTTGGTTTCCATCTTGGTTTTTCTCTCATTCAGGTCACTAACTGCCAGAGGTGACTTCAAAGGTTTGTAATCTATACAGTCAAGACAGAGTCCTGGGCTTAGAAGGACTCTGCACTTGGTTTAATGCTTTGATGTCACTGTCTTGAAATTCTGAATAATTATTGAACTAAGGGCCCTGTGCTTTCATTTTGTATTGGGCCCAACACACATAGTCGGTCCTGCCAGTTGCCATGTTATGAATATGGAGAAGCCAAAATGAGGAGGAACTCAGGCCTGCCAACAGCTGCGTGAGTGAGCCTGGAAGCAGATCCTCCAGCCTCAGCAGAGCTCTGAGATAAACTGCCATCTCACAAGAGACCTTGAACCAGAGGTATGGTGAGTTTTGGGGTGGTCTTTAAAAAATTATTTGCTGTTACATGTTGTGCTTTGTTTTACAATCTGTGTGTTTAAATCAGGACCCAAATGTGGTTCTCACGTTGGTTAATATGTCTCTTAAGTCTCTTGTAATCTGTAGAGTTTTTTTCACCACATTTTTTTTTCTCTAGGCAAGGCTCTACTGATTGCAAGAAAGAGAAAACCTACTCAAATTAGCTTAAGTAAATTAGGAACTTTATTTAAAAGGTTACAAAGGGCAGTTTGACCTCATCAAAGACTGGAACCAGAATTCAAAAGCCATCAGAATCCAAGGTTTCTACTTCCCCATTCTCTTTGTCTCCAGGGTTTATGGTATCCTCTGTCTTTGTTACCAGTTTGGGGATATTATGAACAATATTGCTATGAGTATTTTTTGTTTGTTTGTTTTGTTTTGTTTTTTGAGATGGAATCTTGTTCTGTCGCCAGGCTGCAGTGCAGGGGCGCAATCTCAGCTCACTGAAACCTCCACCTCCTGGGTTCAAGAGATCCTCCTGCCTCCGCCTCCCAAGTAGCTGAGACTAGAGGCACACGCCATCATGCCCAGCTAATAGTTTTGTATTTCTGGTAGAGACGGGGTTTCATCATGTTGGCTAGGATGGTCTTGATCTCTTGACCTCGAGATCCACCTGCCTCAGCCTCCCAAAGTGCTGGGATTACAGCCGGGACCACCTCACCCAACCACTATGAATATTCTTGTACATGTCTCTTGGTACACAGATCTACAAGTTTCTCGAGAATACATAGCTTGAATTACAAGTTCTAGGGCATTTACTGAATAATGCCAAACTGTTTTCCAAATTATTGTGGAATTTATACTCCTACCAACAACATATAACTGTTCCCATTATCCACATCTATGCTAGCACATGATACTGCCAGATTTTTAATATTGGCGTGTATGGTGGTAACTCATTTCAATTTCATGTTCCCCTTTATTACTAATAATGTGGAGCACCATTGTCTAGTTATTTTGTATGGATTTATAGGAGTATGTATATTATAAATAAATCCTTTTCTGTGTATTGTGTTGCAAGTATCTCCCATTCTGTGATTTGGTTTTCAATCTTTGGTGTTTTGTTTTTTTTTTTTTTTTTTTGAGATGGCATCTTGCTCTGCCTCCCAGGCTGGAGTATAGTGGTGTGATCTTGGCTCTTTGCAACCTCCACCTTCTGGTTCAAGCGATTCTCCTGCCTCAGCCTCCTGAGTAGCTGGGACTATAGGTCCACACCAACATGACTGGCTAATTTTTGTATTTTTAGTAGAGACGGGGTTCACAATGTTGGCCAGGCTGGTCTCAAACCTCTGACCTCAAGTAATCCACCCACCTCAGCCTCTCAAAGTGCTGGGATTACAGTCATGACCCACCACAAGCAGCCGCTTTTCAAACTTTATAGTGGCTTTAAAAAGATAGAAGTTCTTAAATTGTACTTAATTCAAATTTATCAGTTTCTTCTCTTGGACTTTTCCTTTTGCTTTTTGTGTCTTGTTTAAGAAATCTTTTTCTACCTGAAGATCATAAAGATATTCACTTATGTTATTCCAAAATGTCTTTTTTGCTTTAACTTTTACATTTAGGTCTACAATCAACCAGGAATAGATTTTTGTGTATGGTGTGAGATAGAGGTCTGAAATGTTTTTTACATGTAAAGACATTATTGTTTTACATCATTTGTCATTAAAAGCCTGTCTCTGGGCAGAGGGCAGTGGCTCACATCTGTAATCCTGGCACTTTGGGAGGCCAAGGTGAGTAGATCACGAGGTCAGGTGTTCGAGACCAGCCTGGCTGACATAGTGAAGCCCTGCCTCTACTAAAGATACAAAAAAAAAAAAGAAAGAAAGAAAAGAGCCGGGCGCAGTGGCTTATGCCTGTAATCCCAGAACTTTAGGAATCTGAGGTGGGCGGATTACCTCAGATGGTCAGGTCAAGAGACCGAGACCATCCTGGCCAGCTTGGTGAAACCCCATCTCTACTAAAAATACAAAAATTAGCCGGGCATGGTGGCACGCGCCTGGGGTCCCAGCTACTCGGGAGGCTGAGGCGGAAGAATCGCTTGAACCCAGGAGGCAGAGGTTGCAGTGAGCCAGGATTGCACCACTGCACTCCAGCCTGGGAACAGAGCAAGACTCCGTCTCAAAAACAAGAGAAAAAGAAAAGAAAAGAAGCCTGTCTCTGTAGTGACATATCTGATACACATTACGTGATTCATGTATGTGTCTCTTTTTTTCTGTTTCATTGGCCTAATTGCCTATCTCTGCAATATCATACTGTCTTAATTGCTCTAATTAGTTTAGTAATAGTTTTGGTAATTAGTAATCTCCATTTTTATTGTGAAATATAACATACTCATAGAAAATGCATTAAAATAGATTAATAGATGTCAAGCTTACTTAATGTTTATAAAACAAACAGCCATATAACTACCACCCAGGTCTTTGATTATAACTCTACCTCTCCCCACAGAAGGATTCATTATTTTGCCATTTATGGTAATAATTTCTTAGCTTTTTTTTACCAGTAGTGTACATATTCCTATACAATATAGTTTAATTTGTCCCCATTTTGAACTTTATATTAATAATTACACTGTACACAATTTTATTTCTGCTTTTTTTTTTTGAGACAGAGTCTTGTTCTGTTGCCCAGGCTGAAGTGCAGTGGTATAATCACAGCGATTCTCCTGCCTCAGCCTCTTGAGTAGCTGGGATTACGGGTGCGCACCATCATGCCTGGCTAAGTTTTGTATTTTTAGTAGAGACAGGGATTCGCCATGTTGGTCAGGCTGGTCTCGAACTCCTGATCTTATGATCTGACCACCTCAACCTCCCAAAGTGCTGGAATTATGGGCATGAGCCACTGCGCCCAGCCCCAACATCTTAAATTTTTTTTAATTTTAAACTAATTTTAGAATTACTGAAAAGTTAGAAAAATAATGCAGTTTCTGTATATCCCTTCCACAGCTTCTCCTAATGTTCACATTTTATATAATCCTGCCTCAGCTTCCCAAGTAGCTGGGATTACAAGTGTGCACCACTATGCCCAGCTAATTTTTTATAATATTTTTAGTAGAGAACAGGGTTTCACCATGTTGGCCAGGATGATCTCAATTTCTTGACCTTGTGATCCGCCCACCTCAGCCTCCCAAAGTGCTGGAATTACAATCGTGAGCCACCGTGCCCAGCCATGATCCAGCACCTTTTTAATAAGATTTTCATTGCATTTTTGTGCCATTTGAATAAAATTATTGTCATTAGTATTGAAATGTAAGTACAACTTTTGAATTATTCACACTATAAATTATTTTATTATTCACATCAATGGAACTAATATATAATTCCTTAATCAAGTATTAAGAGCTGGTTGGATTCATTCATTCATATAGCTATGT